AGAAAGATCTGGAGATATCTAATTGAATATCCGATATATCAGACGTTTTTTATCCCCGGAACGCTAAACCGGCAATCAGCAGATTCCGCAGGAGGGCGGGGAGGTCGAGACATGAACGGGTTTCATGAAATCCCCAGACTTCTATAGAAATCTTTGATCTGACGTGCTTTAGCGTTCCGAATCATCTCTATCTATGCTTTTTCTCTCTATTCATTATATATATTTTTATCATTTTATCTTATCTATTTTCTTTTTCTTTCTTTTTGAATCTTTATCTATATTTATCGATATATATCTAGCTTATTCTATTCAAATGATTTCTTATTTGATCAAATAATATCATATATTTATTTATCTTAAGATATCTAGATGCTCTAGATTTCCTAAATTCTTATTATATAATACGAAATTAAATATCTAAAGAATAAAAAATTCATTATATCTATAATTATGAGATTTTAGGAATTACTTAATATAGAATCTCCTAAGATTATTAGAAATTTTAATGAATATTTCATTTTCTATGATCAATATTTTTAGGAAATTTCAGAAATTTCTTTATGAATAGATAGTTTCAATAACGATAAATTATCAAATCGATGAAATGATATACGATCTAATCAATGAATAATATATATGAGAATTCATGAAATCGATATATCTAGAATCCGATATACGGATAGAATCTATCAATTTTCTTTTCATTAGATTATTTGATCGAAAATTTGCAGATAATTAGATTTTTCCTTTTCAGATAAAATAAATAAATAAATTTCGAGAATCGATTCATAATTAAGTAATTCAATATCAAATAGTATTAGATAGATAGAATGAAATTTTATATTCAAAGAAATTCTTAAATCGATATCTTAATTAATCAATTATCATATCAATTCATCAACAGATGTATAATCTTATGACGAAGAAATAAATAGATATCAAAAATCTTCGGTTTTTTAATCTAATATTCATATGAAAATTATCGTTTAATATTTCTTTTTTTGGATTATATATATTCTATTCAGATATCATTAGATTCTTCAAATTTCCAGATATAAGAAATTCAGAATTTAGTTAAATTTCCAGAGCTAATAATCTTTCTAAAAAAATCGTAAACTTTAAAAAAATAAATAGATAAAATCCTGATGCCCTCATTTACAAGAATCATAAATTTTCAATAAACTAGAGTGGACCCGCTGCTTACAGCAGCGGAGCATCATCGTTCGAGTGAGGCGTAACGGCAAGTTATCTGATATGAAAGAAAGCAATGAGTAGAATTCCGAATCCTACTTCCTCGCAACTTGACATCCCGCATCTTGAATATGCATTGCTATTGCGAAATTGAGGGCTAGCAGGCTAGCAGCAATTGAGGGAATTGCGTATTTGGGGATATTGCTATATCTATCAAATTATTCCTCTAAGAAGCAGGTGCCAATCTCGAGGCATTCCTGGAGGGGCGGATTTATAGATTGGAGCCCAAGGATTTGGAAAGACGTCTTAGAGTCTGACGATTTTTTCCTAGGCAATCTGATGCGGTCTATTTCTATTTTCCGTTCTACGCATAGAGATATATAATTCTCTACGGATATTTGAATTTCTAATTTTAATTCGAAATCCGAATCGTGACGTGGCTCTGCTTCTCTGCTTTGACAGACTTGGAAGCTCCGTTCCTTTGATATTTCATGAAGTATCGTATATACTATTTATCTTGCAGGAGAATATCATCAAATCATTTTTCAAGAATCTAATATAAGAGGGGATATTCTTTCTAGTCGCGGGGGTTTTTATCGCTGATCTTTCTTCTGAAGCTCGTCAGGATCTCGCAAATCTAAAAGAATTTGCCCAGGAGATTTCAGGTCGTCACTAATCCCAATGATTTTTACAAACTCCGCTGACCCAAGCCGGGTTCTCCCTCGCATCCTATAATATATCTGGGTATCTCTTGGCAAGCATGCGCCAGAGGGCTTGTTGCTGCAAGTTGGGCAAATAACGGTACGGTGTTTTCTACGACATCAAGCTCGTCGAAATCTTGAAGCTGCCGTTGATATAGTTGCCGCATCTTTTGACTTTTTTGAGAAATTTAAAGATTTGAGACTTAAGTTGAAGATTTCAAGAAAACGACTAATCTATAGATTCTGAAAGATTTTAGCTCTCTATCTCGGATCTTCATGTTCCGCCGAGCAGATGCGCAGATACTCAAATAGAAAGAACTAATTCGAAATCTCGAGAAATTTTTGATCATGCGGGCCAAAATCTCGAATTATCTACCGTTATTGTGCGCCAGATCGGAAAAGGGCATAAAAACCCGCGGGCGGAGGCGACCATTCTATAAATTCTAAAAGATTTAGATTCTCCATCCTTTATATATTCCGCGACCAACAGCGTATACAACCAAAAAGAAATGAATCATACGGAAGATCACTCCGGTAGTCAAAGATTGCAGATAATCAATCCGAGATTTTAAATCGTGCTCCCCGCGCCAATCTCGAAGCTCTTAGAATTTCCAGCATTTCTAGAAAAATCCTAAAATCTTCGAGATTTTAAAGTCCTGGGCAGCTTACAAGATATATTTTGCAAACGATTCAGAAACTCTAAGCCGCGCACTATCGAAATAGCCGTCAGTAACGCGAATATCTTATATAAAATATCCATATAATTAGAAGTATTTCAGGGAATTTAATATTTCTATCTGCCAAAATAAAGAAAATGAAATCAATATATGAAATTCAAAATATCAAAGAAATATTAAACTAATAAATAAATTTTTCGAGAAGAAATCCAATTGAAAGAATGATAGATTCGATATTATAAATTCAAATCATAAATTCAACCCACGTCCTATGAAATTCCGATTATCCTATCGGCCGATAATTAGAGCGGAGAAATGAAGAGAAATTCTCGTATAACACAAATCGGAGAGACCTCGATTTCATTTTTTTAATTTCTATCTTTTCCGAGAGATCCTTTCCTCTAATTTTTTTTCCGAGAAATCATTCAAAAGTGCGAGAATTTGAGAATCCGTAGCCAACTTGCAAGAAGCCTTTGAATAGAACCGGAAAGTCTAGGTATGTTTACGCCCCGCGTGAGCGAAATAACCGCAAGTGTTTGCGCTATTTATTCAGCTCATAATCAAAACCTAAAATATTTTCACAAGACTAAAAATTTTCAGGCCCTGGCTCCAAAGACCTCTCAGATTTTAGCTCTTTCGCTCTACTAAAATCCGCGCATATCTTGGCAAGTTTCTCGCATTTATTGTTTTTAGGGACTTTGTCAACTTTAAGCAAGGTTTTTATCTTCTCGTCAGGTTTTTGCAATGGTTTCATTGAATACCATTCCTGAAATCCTCAATGCAAAGGCCTCCCAGTCATCGTTTGCTTTGGCTTTTCTAAGATTTCCTCAGGTTGTGGGAATTTTCGGCTCATCCTGCAGCTGCAAAAATCCGAGGACGCGCCTGCAAAAACTAAAGAACTGGATATTTTTCAAGGCTTGCGAATAGACTTGCAGACCCATCAGTTGACTACTGGCTTCCAATAGAAACAGCAGTATGTGGTTTTCACTTTAGTGCCCTGATGTGCTCTGTAGGGCCATGTGACTACGGCTTAGAAATCTTCGGGGCTCAAGGCTGCTTTGGGCTGGCAAGGCCAACCGAAAGTAAAGGAGCTCAATTTAAGCAAATTCCTTGTGATTCGGAATTGACAGGCTCCAGGAGGGCCTTGGTCACACCTTTGTAATTTGTAACCGTCATCCTGAGGCATGATAAGGGTAGCTGTTGAGGATCTGTTTTGCTAAAAGCTTGTACCAGGGACTTAACGAAGCTCTTTCTTGCGGACATTCAGAAAGTAAACGCAATCTTCAGCAACGTCGGTGAGAGTGTTTTTCAAGTACATACAGCCTAGCAGTTGAAGCAGGTTCGAAGACCTATAAGGTCAGTCGCTACAAGCGGACTGATCTGCCTAGCACAGGTGGAGGAAGCCACAAGCCTGCCTGTCGGGCCAATCTGCAACAAAGGTATCTGCCAACTATTTTTGCATTATAGATTTCAAGTACGAGTAGATGATCATCCCTGAAGGTATTTTCCGAGCCAGCCAGGACATGACCTGTTGCTCCCCAAGTTGCTTCACCTAGCTTTTCATCCCCACTCATCTTCTTATCTCCTGCTGGCCCCAATTAGCAACGGCTAAGCTCCAGTAGCATATCCATGTGCATGGTCTAACTGGCCATCGTGCTGGCGGAAAGGCAAATTTGCCTTGCTACTTACTGCAAAAACACATGAACTCTCAATGGTTGCTAAAATTCAAGGTTCCTTTGGAGCGCTCGCTGAAGTATTGGCACTCTTGTGCAAACCTGGCTTAGCCCATCACCCCAAAAAGTCAAACACTAGCAGGCCCGATATCGCGAACCTTTTCTTGCCTTGCTAAGCTCGCATGACGAGCATGCCATAGTGCGCCATCACATCCTTTTGGCGCTTACCGCAAGCCTTGAAGCTTTGCATCAAGTTTGGAACAGGCCCGGGCGACTCACATATGCCATTCTGCCCAACTAGGTATCAAATTGTTGATGAATGCTATTGCATTGAAACTGCCTGCCGCAACTTGCAAACGTCGTGTTCAGTATCGGCAGAAAGGTTTGGGTCTCTGATCACGGATCCACAGATCAGACTTCTACAGAAGTCTGTGCTGTATCTCGACATGCCGGCTTTTTTGGCCACACCTGGAGTCATCATTTCTCATAGCGTAGTTTGCGCGGTGACAGGTTGTAGAATCCAGGCCTGACTAATGGCTTCCTGAGGAGCTTCTGCTTCTCTTCCTCCGCCTGCTTCCGCTTCGATCGCGGCTTCGGCTGCGGTCCTTTTCTTTGCCTAGGCAGCGCACACAGAAGAATTGACGCAGCCTACACATAGGATGTCTCACATCGGATTAAGCCTTTTAATCACAAGCAGGCCGGGTCGGTATTCACATCATCGTTGGAGACTGCACGTTCGAGCTGTCCAGGGCGCAAACGGTCTCTACGGCTGCGGCTTTCACTTCTGCGCCGACGATCGCGGTCTCGTCGATCCTCCGACTTGCTCTTCTGCTGAAAGCTCTCTTACATTGCGTGGCTGCTTGCAAACCCCACACACTCCTACAATACTAAGCAGGCGGCACGATCGCGATCGCGATCCTTGTCGCGGTCACCACCACCACCCCCACTGCCTCTGCATCCGACCACTACATGCACATGAGCGGCTGTCTCTGAGCCTCTGGGCGCTACAATAACACGCACGCTTTTCCATGCTGTTGCACGAGGCCCAGCGCATGAACAAATCCGAAAACCAGTACACCGCCCACATGTTTCACTTACTGCAGTTCTGCCAAATGAGTTCAACAGTTGGGATACCAAAATCCCGCTCCAGGAGGACTTCAGTCCCGCCGTGGGACCTACAGGACCGTCAAAGCAGAGCAATTTGTAAAGCAGCCTGCGCCGGCCCTCACGTTGGTGGCTTGATCTTTTCCTTTCCTTTCGTTGTATTCCTCTCCAATGCAATCATATGCTTGCCAAACGAAGTGCTATTGGCGGCACGCGTCTGTCCTTATCATACGTGACTTTGTCTCCTTCTTGGATGCTTCCGTCTCCGTCTGCCAAGGCGGAGACGTGGGCAAACAAGTCCTGCCGTCGCAAGCCGCTCCAGAAACATAGCTCAGCAAGTCGGTTCCAGCCTCTCCGCCGTCATCCGGCTTAATGAAGCCGAACCCCTGCACATTGCAGTTGCAGCGCGCAGTGGCTCCGAAGTCAAACAGTGTGAATTGATGTGACTTACAGCTGTCAACGCTCTGTTTATTTCTTACTGCTGCCCAACCTGAGCATAATGTTCAAGCGGCCAGGCCTTGTCGCTGTGCCAGCGGACCATTGTGCCAACTTCCTGTTTTTGCCACGACTGCTTGAATCACGTGGCGGATACCGTTGGTATCATTGCTACAAGTTTTCAGCAAAGGAAACGATCAAGGTCAACGTCATGGGCACTCGGCGCCCGTCCTTGCCAGGCTCGTTGCTCTTCGGCTTTGGCTTTGGCCCTGCCAGTGCATAGAGTTCTCTAATGTCTGTCTGGCGTCACGAAAGCAAATCGTAGGGATGCCCACTGTCTTGCATTCTTGTCACTACCGTACATGCGCTTGCAAGTGCGATTGCTTCCTTGCTTCAATGGTCAGCACCACAACACAACTCTTCTCCTCCTGTTCACAAAATGGCAGGAACTGCAGTTTAGTCCATTTCGGGTTTGCACACTGACATTGACCAACGGCACAGGGCATGTCGGCGGCTTTGGACATTTGTGCCTGTTCACTCTGCAGTGAGTTGCCGTCCTTTCATGTTTACCCAAAACTAATCACTCGGCAACCCCATGTGGGCAAGATGCAAATCGGTTTTGGACGGTCGAATCACTTCTTTGAAGCCCCTGCGTGTGAACAGTGATAGGACAAAATCTGAATCGACGATCATGGTTTTTTTTTACATGCAGCTGTGGCAGGCGCCCAGCTTCATAGCAAAGATTCTAAGCACTCTGAACATCCTGTCGCTATCGTGGCTCATCTGGATCCTGCGCCCTGCGCAGCTCACGCTCCGAATCCCGCCTCTGTCGCCTCCAGTTCGGCCTCGGGAACGGCTACGATCACCTGGGTCATGCAACTCTCTGCAACTTCGGTCTGGTCACAGCAGAAGGCAGTGCTGCCTTGCCTTGCTACCCGGTCGCGCAAATGCACTCACAGCTAGCAGCAAGCAACTTCCAGCTGGAACATCAGCCGACACGTTGAGTCCACAACAACTACTCAAGGCTGCGGCGGCTTCTCTCCCTGCTTCTGTCGCGCCCGCCTCCTGCAGCTCTTCTCCTGGCATTCTTGTAATCTTATGAAACCGTGATGCGGGCTCAGAGCACTGCCATCAGGATGCTCCTCTTCGAGGCGGCACTGATCTCCGAGAGTTCGCCCGGGGCACTGAGCTCCACTTCAGAGGCACGGTATTTGCCCTTCAAGACCGCATTGATTGGATTACGTTTCAGACCGCAAGCACGCTGCGACAGGCATCGCTTTGGCCTTGCGGTCGTCCCATTTTTCAGTGTACAGCACGGTGTCGCCCTGATGAAAACGATACATTTGTGGATCTGTGCCCGCACCAAAGCTGGGACCACTTAGTGCACCATGGATCTACGAAGGAGCACATCCCGCAGATCGCCTCTACTACACTGCCCTCACCCTCTTGGAGGTCGGACACGTGGCAGAAGACATCCTAGAAGCACGTGCGGCTAGCTTTAGAATGCCAGCCAAACATAGTGGCGGCGCGAGTTTCTTCTACCTTCTTCTGCAAGCTCTTCAGCTCTACTTTCTTAGCAAGGTCCTCGTTGTCAGCTGCTGGTTGAACTGGCTGGATGAAGCCGAAACCTCGACTAAAGCGATTTCTGTCTGCAATCGGGTTGCACCATTGCTTAGGCAATTGCCCTTCTCGTTGTTCCATCGTACCTAATTGTCATGCTCGTGCTTGGGGGGTGACATGCGAGCCAGCGCCAAAAGGTACACCAGTGCCCTCTTAGCCGCATGCGAGAACTCCGACTGGCATCCTGGGACCACAGCACGGCGCAACAGCTTGACGGGCTGAAGCCAAACGCTGACAGATGTTATATGAGCAGCTTGTTGTCAACAATCACAAGCTTCTGCTCCACTAGAAAGGCATCAAGTCGTGACTGCCTTTTTTTGGAATTGGCACGAGCCAAAGGTGACCGTTGCAGCGCACGACGGTCTGTGTGCGTGTCTAAAGGCGCGGAACTTCCAGCGGGGTTGCGACATGATGCGACGCACCCTGCCCGATCATATACAAAAGATGTTGCGTTCAGCAAGCGCGTCACAGTAAATGACAAGCACTAGGTTCAAATGATCCTACTAGTACTTATGAGTACTTTCGGCCCGTGCGCTGAAGCTGCTGCACAAAACGCAACCTGTTCAGCACCTCGCTGCAGAGTGTTGCTCCACACTGCGAGTAGCAGCTTCGCCCTACATCTCCTAGATGTCTGCAGAAATTATCCAACTGACCGTTGGAGGCATTTGCACCTTTTGGTGCTTTCACGTATAGACCTGGCAAGGTCAATCCATCAGGCTAGGACTGAAGACAACAAAAGCTGAAACCACTCATGCCACTGATTGCAACTGATTGCCACTGCTACTGGCTTGATGTGCCCGTTCTCGCAAACATGCCGTTCATTCCACTGCCAATCAGCAAAGAAGCAAGAAAAGCATAGCTTTGAGCCGTGGCGCCTGTACTCATAAGAGAAAACCATAACTCAGCTGCCGCGGCCCCTGGGCACCAGTCAGATCATTCAGTCTATGGAGCAATGTGTAGCTGAAACATGCTGAAAGGGAGCCTTGAGGGCCTGAAGCAGCATTGAAAAGACGACATGGCGAGCCTGCCATAAGCGCTTACATGCACGTATGGAACGATTTGTTGAGTCCTTTTAAGCGAGCGACGGTCCAGCCTCTGGGCTCGTCGGGGCTTCTTGCTTCTTGTGCTCGCCTCAAGCTCAGCTGCCTATGGCAACCTCGGCACCTCGAGGTGGGGTCCACACATGCTTCTTGGAGAGCACTGAAGCAGACTGTCTCTCACAGCATTTGTCCAGCTTGCCTAGCAGGCTTCACGGGATGTCACGCATCTTTGCTGGGAGAGACTTCACCTTCTCAACCTCCGATCCAGGCGGAATTCCCAAGAAGCGTTTGGGGCATCTTTCCCGCAGATTAGAGGGCATGCAGCCGCTGCTACTGTGGGTGCGTGCATGGACTCTTCTTCCGCCAACGATTGACGCAACAGCTTTCCTTGGGGCAAAGGCCGACCCTCCGGCTGCCCATCCAATTCTTGCTCCTTCGAATGCCTGAAGCCGCGGTGTTTGGCGGAAGCACTCTGCCAGCTCATGTTAAAGGAGTTCTCGCAAAAAGGAGCGAGAAGTGCTCAAACGAAGCTGCTAGCCTCGGGTCCTCGATGCTCACCAGTTGGTCTGGCCTGGGTATCAACAAGACACCTCTTGCGGTGAAGCAAGCTACAACTATGGCGGCGATGATCCCTCCTGGTTTGCCATTCTGTTTAGTTGGTGCCTGAACAAATTACAGGTTATAGTCTACCTACTACTTCCCGTGTATATGCGGGCCGGCTCTCACTGCCCTGTACAGACTTCACTTGAATTCGCCACTGTGTTGGCCACGCTGCTGGTGTACTTCTTGGGATGCAGTATTCACAGCTGAGTTGTACACATGCATAGAAGTAGAAAAGCAGGCAAACCACATTTTCAAGTGTGACTGCCGTCCGCAAAAGATTGCGTCAGTTGGAAGCGTCCACGCAGGCCCACAGCAGGACCTGGATCAAGATTTGCAGGGAGCACTTCATCAGGGTCTTTTGCTGGCAACAATTGGACTATGCACGGTCAAGTGTGCTGGATCAGACTTTCTGATTCACCCGTCCAATACTTTCCCCTATCGCCTCTGTGATGCTATGCCGCGACTCGATGCCGATCCTGCACGCCGGCCGGCTTGTGAGGGTGAGCAACCTGTCAAATGAAGCAACTGCAGACTTCTGTGAAAGGTGTGGCCGCGCAGTGAACTGCAAAGGTGTTGGCTCTGTTTTGCTCTGTCGCCGGACTCGAGCGGAGTGGTCAGGCGAAAGATCCATGCTGCCGATTGCCCGCGGAGCGCTGAGTGGAAACAGCACGTGCTTGTCGTCGTTCGTCGGTCGTTGCTGTCGCAGGGTTGTGACTTGTGGAGCGCAGTGGTAGTAGTAGATCTGGATCTTGTACCTCAGGCCCCAGGTGGATTGCAGCTGTCCGCTTGAACATGCCTACAGCATGTGGGCCTCATTGGTCTAACTTGTCCAGGATGGCTTGTAGCTCGTCATCGTATTGCGTCCATTCAGGCGCTATTCGTCGCGCTTGCTGCAGCTTGCCTTCCTGACAGACTGAAGTGCAAAAGTGCGGCTTTAGTGTCCTTTGACTGAGCCGTTTCTGCAGCTTGCAAGGGTTCATCACTGGAGACCGCAAAAGCAAGTCCGAACTCTGGCCAGGAGGCTTTTTTGGAAGGATGCTGGCCTGAGCTTGCTGATGAGATTCTTTTCAAATTGAGGCTTTTGACGGTACACTCGAGTAAGCAATTCTTACACACGTCTACCACTGAGCACCCAGCACATGTCGATGGTTTTTGCGTTCACTTTGGAACTCTTGCTGCACCAACTTTCGCACCAAAGCCATTCTTGCGGCAAGCTGTAGATGGGCAAGTTCTTTTGTATGTAGTTCGGCAGGTCCTGCTGCATTCCAAGATTCATGGCTAAGGCTGTAACTACTCAGTCAGACTTGTCTATGCGGCACAGAACCTGACCTGGTCCAAATTCGCTAGGCTGTGTGGGTCAGCCGTCAAAGACTGGTAGACATCTCGCAGGGTGTCCCCTGCCCCGGTTTGGCGGAACACCTTCATGTCATGAGCAACACAAGATCCTGTTGTCCTCTTCTTCTATGTTTTGAAAAGAATTCTACAAGTACAACCAAGTCTCCCCCAATCTGCACCCAGTGTCGAAAACCCCTCAGAAAATGAACACCAGTGCCATGCCTCCAAATCCACCACGAAAAGGGCAGAGATGTGATAGTAGTGCCGGCTTGCTAGATGATTCTTCCAGAAGCCTTGCCTTGGCTTCAGACATCACAAAGAACAAGCAACTTCCATTGGTAAACAACCGAGCCGCTCCCAGAACCGGAAACCGACAGTGTCAGGATTCTTGAGGTCCTCCTGCTTTGCTGCCTCTCATCACAGGCAGCCAGGCCAGGGCAACATCTTCAAGGAAAACCAGCCCGACCCTTTTATGGAATATGGCTGTAGAATTGGAAAGCAACAAAAGCACATTCACTTGGCTGGAAATCTGACCCAAATCAAGCTGCGATTGAACCCATTTTCTGATGCAAACAGGGCCTTGCCAGTCAAGGAGCCCCAGATATGGCTCGTGAGGCTTTCCGGTGGACCAGATCCACAGAATGGCACGAAGCCATACACGTGGCCTTGCCAAGCGGATCTCATTTCTTGATGTTGGACTACTTTCTGCCATCCTTGCAACCATCTGTTGAAAACACTGGTGGAGCATCTGTACAGTGACAAAGCCCACAACCCATCCGATTTTCGCTTAACGCCACTTCAAGCGAGGTGCCTTTGATATCCATCCTCCATAGCTCTTCGACCTCACTGCAGTTCTGCTTCAGCATTCTGGACAGTCAGCCTGAAAGCTCAACCAAGGCCATGCCCTGCAACGATGGCTAGATATCTAATACACCCTGACATTTGCAGGAACGAGATTCTGGGTATACATGTGAGCAGCCTGTCGATGATATGCTGAGGCCCGCTGGGACACCTACATTGGCACGAACTATCTGATCGGCATCAATGAAGAGGATGCGCTTCACTTCTGCTGGGAAGAACACGTCAAGGAAGAGGATCCTGCAAGCCATGCAGCAAACGATAATGCTCAGCTCAACAATGCCCTACAGAAGCTTCTTCTAGAAACTGATCTGCTTTGGACTGAATTGTGTTCTGTGCAGTGCAGGCAGCAACCTTATGACGAGGGCACGGATGCGTCTGGCAGGAACGCTTTCAGCAACCATAGCTACGAATTCATCCGCACTTTCGAGCTATGTTGGTCATATGTGATTATATCACTGTGGCACACCGTCCACTGTGTGCGAATGTGAAATTGTATCAAGCCGGGGCTCTTATAAGCCCAAATCACTCGCTGCTTTTGTGTTTGCTCTCGCCTTAGCCGCAGCAATATTGATGCACATGTATACTGTGTATACATATACATACTTTTAAGTCATTGTAAGCACATATGTAGTTACATATTAACGCTGCGTTCATATGTGTACATACATATATATATATATATATAATACACACATGCATATACTTATGTGCAAATGCCGCGACTGGTGTACCAACGTGTCCTCGTGGTATGCTGGTTGCCTAACCTAACATCACACTTTTTGCGATCTTTTGCGGAAATTTTGTGGAAAACAAGTGCGAGCGAGTCGCAACCAGGTCGGCCACTTGTAAGTCACACGGCTGACCGCAAATCCAACCTGTTCTGCCAGACCGGGCAAAATTCTGCGAAAGCGCGGGCTCAGGAAGTTCTCCACAAGCCAGAAGCGAAGCTTGCCTCAGTGGTTTAGCTTTGCAGACGGGAGTCAGCACGTCGGCTTCCGCTGACAATGGCTCTGCTGCTGTCTAAGGCGCACTTCGTATGTTTGCGGACTGACATCATCATAATTCGCCTGAATAGTCAAACGTGAAGGAGGGCTCGACTGCTTGCTCAGGACAGCAATGCAGAATACAAGCCTGCCAAGCTTTTAAGCTCCCCGCAGTAAACGCTCATACCGAAGGCCTGAAAGTCATTTCTGAGTGTGCAATTGAAATCCGCCAGCAAAGCCAGCCGTAGCACGACAAAGTTCGATCCCTTTACTGCTTTGTTTTCAAGAACTGCACATCGTTCTTTGCAGGAAGCCCGCCTGAAGCCACGCTAAAGATGTGGATTGTCTCAGCGCACTCCGCTGGATCTCCACCTCTACCCTCGAATGTCTGTGTAGTGGCCTTGCATGCTTGTCACTGCAAACATGGGCTGCATCACAGGCCATGAGCAATGAGGTTCGAGTCACACTTTACCACTCCCATGATGCAACTGAATACGCAGCCAAGGAAGCCACGCACGCACATCAATTCTGCCAACCCGTAACAATTCATTCCCAGACGGTAGCTCTAAAGCTGTATAAGCTAGCAAGCTCCTGCACCTGAAATCTTTTCAGAAGAATCCCCGGTGAAAGCAGCCGGGGCTCGGTGTCATTGGTCTTGAAGAAACTTGACCGGGCATCCTGAGAACACGAACAAACAGCTGCTGGAGATCAGTGGCACAACTTCTGGACTCTCAAGAAGCGCAAAAGGCATCAGTCACATATTGACCCAGAACACTATCTTAGAAGCAAACCTGGAGTCCAGAACCGATCCCATAGTCCTACCAGGAAGATCCGAGAACGAGGGATTCGTGCAGTAGCGGGCCTCGCCGGAGCCCAGGCCCACACGAGCTTCTAGCATGGATCCTCTGCCAGCTAGGTCCTCACATCTGCCCATGTAGCACACAAGGGAACATTGAATGCGTTTTTCTGTGCCGTCCCGAACCCGCGTGTCACAGCTTCTAGGGCCTACGTTGGGTGGCCTACCGGTCTTGATTGCCTCTTTGTTCATGGGGCTGTTTGCCGCTGAGCTTCTGCCAGCTGGACAAGCCCTTTCGGTCGCAGCAACTTCTCCTCACTGGAGCGAAGAGACAGCTGGTACCTTGCACGCTTAGAAAAGCAGCAATGGCTCAACCTGAAGTGAGCGGTCCCTTCCTGCATCCTGTCTGGCCAAGATACACTCCTGGCTTTTGACGCAGCTGAAAATACCCACTCTTAACGACCTGAGTGCCCGTACTGCGCCGATGAAATGCAGGCTGCACATAGCTGCACAACGCAGCACATGTACACATGCAAACCAGCCCCAAAAGTAGGCTAATTGGTTTTGAGCCAAAGGTCCACAGAGTCACTGCCAGCGGTCTCGGCCACGCCACGAAGTGGTGCCAATGCGAGCTGGCGGCCAGTTGCTGGACTTCCGCGAGCATCCTGCAATTGTCCCTCTATGTGCTCATTGGAAGCACATCACTATTTGCACATGCCCCACCTCTGTGACACCTTCCAGGAAAAGAGCTTGGACCTCGTACCGCACGTGCACCTGCATACAGTATCAACACGTGCATCTGCAATCAGAAATTGAGGCAGGAAACCCTGCCTGCTGGCTTCATTTCGAACCATTTCCAATACCAACAAGAAGGCTCTCTGTGCTCAAAGCGTCCAACATGTTAGCTGTATGTTCACAAGTTTTTTGAACATATCGCCTTGCAGGAACAGCAGGCAAAGAGTGCACGGCTTGCTTTTCCAATTCGGTGGATGATCAGCATTTTTAAAGCAGGGGGTCCTCAAACGCCCCGAACTTCCGGGGCCGGACGGGGCGCTCTGGCACCCTCCAACCCAGAGATGGGCGACATGAAAAAATCAATGCCTGTTAGGCGCGTGATGATCAATGAGCAAGTGGGACAAAGGTGGTTTTGCTCTGTTGCAATGCACACAATCGCGTCAACCTGCCGACGGAAACGCGGACATGTTGGCCTCCGAGGCCATTCAACAAATCTTGGCCACCAGCCTCAACAAGCCGCCAACAACCATAAGGCGGCGAGCAAGCCGTTCACGCTCACAGCAGTTGTTGAGTGCGCCTTAGCCGTCCGGCAGTACATGCTTGGCCAACGTGATCCAGGGTGAGCACAGCGAGAATTTGCGCCAGGACCTCCAGCATGTCAATGGAAGCACCCCAGCCATTGGCCGAGTTGGTTTTGTCGGAAAACGCGACGGAAGTCGGCACAAAACCCGCCTCGTGGCAGCGTTCGGCCTCTAGGAAAAAATCCTGTGCGTAAGTGGTGGCATTTGCAACTTGATTTGACTCCTTGGCACGCAGACCCATGATGTAAAAGAGGCCGCTCTTGAGTGCGGAGTCGGTCGGCCTCGACACCGTCGAAATCATCGACGTAGCGGCCGCCGACGATCAAGAGGAGGCACCGCGTAAGATAATTGGAATGCCAGACAAAGGCCGCTGCGCGCAAGCACATGGCATAGTGGCATAATCAAACCAAAGCTTGGGTCCCCTTCCTGTGCGGAGTACAGCTTGAGCAGGTCGTGGCCGAAGACCTGTACTGTCTCCCGCGCTAGTCGCCTGACTCCGTGTCTCAAGGCGGTGAAAAGCTAATAAGGCACCACCATCTTTCGGTCCGCCTTCGGGCGTGCGGGTGGGCCGCCTTTGCCCAGGACCGAGTCCCGGACCACCAAGCCCAACCTGGCAAGGTGGACTACTGTTTAGGAGGTCCGAGTGGGCGGTGCAAGCCCATCCGCAACCCTGCCACTAGGCGCCTGTGCATCCAAAAAGCCATGAATCATGAGGGCGCGTGAGTACAACCTACCGCCCCCCTTAGGACAAGACTACATGTCCGCGACCCCATCCCGCGCTGCTGGACCAACGAACGCCTAGAAGCGGCCCCTTCGCATCTCTGACACATCCTTTCCACCAGTCCAGTCCTCTACCCCGTGGCGGCCCGGGCGCTTATATATGAGCAGTGCCCGCCCAACAATGTTTTTGCCCTCATCGCCGCGGCCGCCTTTTGTCGTCAGCACGCCGCCCAAAGGGCATAGGGCACTTTCCGAGCTGCTTTTCAGGGCGCCAAGTTCTTGCCGAACGCCCCTTGCAGGGTATGCAGGGTTTAGTCTCAATCATCGTCGGGCCATTTCGAATCCTGCTTGGCGCGCTCACCCACCATGCAGATTGCTTGTGCGTGCTGGAGATGTGGCCGATCCTGAAAGGGCGGCTGGCTCTGGCCTCGCGGGGTGACCATGACAGGTGACAAGAGGGCGGAAATTTGTTCTGCCATGATTAGTTGCAGCACTTCGGCTCAAATTCTGGGCTTAGGTCGGTGCGCGCTTCAGGCTCGAGGAAGATGCCCTCCCACCAGCGGCCGCGTTCACAGTAGTAGACACCGCCGTTGTCAAAGTCCCTCCTGCCTACAGGCGGAGGGCAGGACGCAGCGGGGTCGCCACCAGCGGCGGTTGTAATGACGCACCATCGCCACCAAGCGCCGAATCGCAACTTGCAGCGGCTGTAATAAGTGCGGAGGTCATGCTGCCAGGCGGCTGCTTGGCAAGCAGATAGTTCTCCGAGGCAGTCGGGCCGCCCACCTGAGCATACCAAAGAAGAAGCTCGGCTGTCAAAGTGGCCCCCCACGACATCCACTTTGGCATCGTGTTGCCAGCCTCTGTGATGTTGTTGATGTTGGCCGCAGGTTCGAGCCGATCATCCCCAGAAACCGGTTGCTCGCGACTAACTCCCCAAGAGCACCGCCCTCGCTATCCGAAGAAGGCGGCGTGTCCCCGCAGGCGCAGAAAATTCTGGAAAGTTGCGCCAGAGCTAGGCTGCAGACGGTCCGCGGCGGAGAGCTGCTATTGCGGAGGGGCCAGAGGACGGCATGGCTAGGGGAGACACAAAGGCGGTTTTGAGCGATCAGACGGCTACAGCGGCATACAGCGGCCGCCCGATGGCTTTACGTTGCAACGCACACAAGTGTGCTAACAGGCAACGTGCCTTGCTGTAGGCTGCAAGCCGTGTTGGAAATTTTGCTTTCATACGGAAGCATGAGATCTGGATGTTTTGATTTCCGACAAACACTGCTGGAATGACTTGCAGCTTAGTGGAACCCTTCAGATCGGGCCTTGGCGCCGGGAGAGCCCCTGGGAGCATCCGCTCGTATGCCATCCAAATCCGCAGCCGAGTCTACAGGCGAGCAGAGCCAAGCATCTGGGGCCAGCAGCTGCATGCTCAGCAGCCTTGGCGAACCGCAGAAACACCTGTGCTCTTCCTGGCTGCAGGCGGCTCACACGCAGAGCTGCTTACTATGAAAAAGCTTAGTGACCAAGCCATTCAAAGCAAACAGCGCTACATAGCGCTACTTACTGTGCTTTCTTTGAGCTGTCTCGAAGCATGCTTTGGCAGATACATGCAGATACTGTGCATCCCGGAAGCTGGCCGCGACGAGGCGGTAGCTCGATGCGAACACCAGGCATGGTGCCATCCCAGTCACTCAGGGCTGCAAGGCCACCTCGCAGGCACAGAGCTTTCTGTTACAATCCGTCGTGCAGGCTATGCTCCCAATTCGCACCTTCCGGGGCCTTGGGCACAGCTGCAGCGCGGAAGTAACCTGAAGCCAGGCATACTTTTGGGTACCTCTACATCAGTTCAACGGATGCGCGGGGCAGGGCGCGAAAATGGCAAGTAGCGTATCCTAGTTCTTTTTGCCTACTGCATTCAAGCTGCCAGTAAGCGGCGACTCAGCGAGTCTCACCGGGCGCAGTGTCAAGAAGACTTCTGCGTTCAGCTCCTGCAGCGGCATGTTATGCTGTCTCGAGCACAGGCACAAGGCCAAGCAACCAACCCGCACTGTAGGACGAAGATGCCTGGTGTAGGAGAGCAAGCAAAGGCGGCAGCCGTTGTGCTCCCTGTCCGAGAGGATTCATCAAGGCATACACCCGAATGGGTGAGCCAAAGCTGGCCTGCCATAGGACATGGAGCATGATGAGCATGAGTCTCTGCTGGCTTTGCTGCGAGATACTGAGATGCTCCAAGACACCTCCATCGGAGCCAGATGCAACCTCAAACTAGGCGGCGCTTGTTGATACATGACCTCGGCTATGCCTTGATGGTGCGAGTCCTGATGCAACGAGCAGCAGCTTCTTCTCTTGCTTGGGTTCACAGCCCACCGTTGCCTGTCCTTCACTTGCTCACCGTCCTCAGACTCTTCCGCAGTCTCACCGCTTCGCGCCGCGAAGCTCTCCACAACGGAACGAGCTCGCACAGCTAGCCTGGAAGTTTGTTAAGAGCAAGTCTAAAAGAACTGCTCGCAACTGCTATGCCATGCCAGCAATAATGGCGTCCGGAGCATGCACCACCGGGCTCCAAACATATTCAGCCGAGGCACGCAAACGCCACCAAGTAGTCATCTGAAGAGCCTGCTTCTTTCTTGAGCATTTTGACAACGGCATCTTCGGACATCGGTTCCCCAGCCTGTCAGGGCCAGCCAGATCACTTCGCTTGGAGTGAGGGCATTTAGTTTGCAGACTTGACGGCAACTGCAACTCTCTCCCCCGGCTGTTTGGGCTCCTGCAGCTGCACGGGTCCATAGTCCAGTTCCAAGTCTTCTGCATGAGCCAGGATGCCAGCGCTCAAGCTGGCCCCATCCAACTCCAAAGGTCCGAAGATGCGGCCGTTGATGGAAAGCAGGGTGCCTTCAATCGTTCCTTTCGCAGCATTCATCTTCTGAGTTGAAACTAGCTTATGGAAAGGCACATGGACTCACCTTGTAACTACTGGTAGACATCAGCTCATGCTGAAATCAGAAGACTGCAACATCTGAAGGTAAGTAATTACAACGTGACCTTTCATGACCTTTCATACCCCTTCGGCGCTTAAGGGACAGCTGTGGTTTAGGTCGTCCAAAGATCTTCATCTAAACTTGCTATTTACGAAATGTCACTGCACCGGCTGTCCTATGTCTCGCAGGACTGGCAGTTGTGCTTGGCAACGTGCTACATCTTCCTGGACCACTGTCAACATCTTTTGCTGAAGGACCTGGCAGAACCCGCAAGCAACTGGTTCCTTCTTCGATCAGGTGGTGAGAAGTGACTAGTGAGGAGTCGGTTGAGCTGCACAACTTCGTTAAGAATTCGGCTATGTGAAGCCATGTGAACTGCCTCGGGGGACAGCAAAGCTTTGGTGCACGCTGTCAGCAGCATCTCAGCTGTGACTTCTGCAGGCAATGTCTGCAATGCCTCGGTATGCGTAAGACAGGAGGCCAAGCATGTCATGCGTGGAAAGCTCCTGGGGCGGGGCACTGCCACAAGGTCGGGAAGCCGACTGTCATGGAAGGCAGCAGCCACGCAGCGCCGCAGTGCGGTGGCCGCCAACAGTGGCGCCCCAACAGGCTGATTGCACCCCGTAGCGACCACCTGGGGATGCTGGGGACAAACATAGCGAAAACCTTTTCCAGCTTGGCCCCTGTCTGCACAACAACTTTCTCGTTCAGGAAATGCGCTGTGCAGGCCGTGCTGTGAAAAGCAACTTGGGCGATGACCACATGCAGGTATCGCTTCGGAGTTGCTCGGCTGGGCGAGAGAGACAGTGATGACAAGGAGGCGAAGGCGCCCAACGCCTCCTGGACTTCCAGCAGAAGCTTCGGGAAGTCTCCGTGAAAGATCGCGAGGTGAACAGCGGGGTATGCGCGTGTGGCTTTCCCTGGCAGTTGTCCCCCAGGTACCGTTTGCAGAGTGCCAGGCGGCAAGGGCACATGTCGAACAGGTGATGTAGAAATCCCAGGATGCCAGGCCGTCAAGAGCTTTGGCTGGATGCGGAATGAGTTCCTTGGCTGCATACCAGCCCCAGCGGCTGAAGCTTATGCAGGAAAAATCAAGATAATTCAGGCATCGCATTGCCAAGCATCGGATGAAAAAACTTCTGGCTGTAAGCAAAGTTGGTGATCTGCTGTTGTGGAACCATTGACGACCGCATCCGCATCATCTGGAAAGCAATTGAAATTTGCTGAATTTCCTGTTGGATCTCGGAATCCAACGACTTCTCCAAGCTCTCCATTCCCACGATCATCTTCCCATTCACGCTAGCACTGGGTGTGGGAAAAAGCCTTTCTAGCAATGCCGAAGTCTCGTCAGAGGCCTTCAGCTTGGGGACCTGCAACATGAAAGCTCTGGAACTGGCGTGCACTTTTAAAGACCCCGCTCCTTGGCATGCTCGGGGAAAGCCTTCTTGTACAATCCTTTGATACGCTTGGCGGCTTCCTGACCACAAAGGTTCTCATCCTGCAAGCAGATCGTAGATTCCAAGGCTCTGCCCCCCTGTCGCAGAACAACCACAGGAACAGCAGTCCTCGGAAGCGCGATCCTCTGCAAAGCGTGTAAGCATCCGTAATGCAGCTTCTTTGCCAGGCTTGTCGTTCAGGAGCTCAAAGACTGCTGACCTGCCCATGTGAGGACTGCACAATGTGAATGCAAGACTGCTGCAAGAAGTAGGTAACAGCGTTGCACAACTGAGTTGGGTAAGCTCCACACTGCAGTAGAGACGCTACAGCCTGGGCTTGTCAAAACGCGCAAGGCTTGAGCTTTTGCACCAATGTGTAGTAAACTCCACCCAAGCAGCGCTGTGAGTCGCACTTTGAAGTCTTAGCCAGGCCAGGGCTGGCATCGGCCGCTTGATCACAGCGTTCACAAGCTTCAGCTGCTTTCGACTGCAAGGGTCGATGACAAAGCCAATCCCCACAAGCCTGCAACTTGCTGAGCTGAGTCCAAGATGGCAGCTTGGGAAAGAATCACGCAGCGCATGCCTTCTTGAAATCAAGCGCGAACGCCATTGCAAACACAAGTGCAACGAAGGAGCTGCGCACCCTGCGCGTTGTCACGATCCAGATTGAACGCTGGTGCCTCACCATGTCACAGCGTACGAGTCTCTATGAGCAGTCTAAACTTTGTCATGTAATCAAGAGTGCTCCTTGCAGCAGTTCATGAGTGAAAACCCTCTTGGCCACCTACTCAACCTTGCTTGCATGATGTTGGCTGGCTTGTCCTTGTTTGAACCTGCCCGTATGAGCCTTCACATCTCCCAGGCGGGGGTCACCAGTGTTGACTTTTGAAGGCAAAGCCGGACCGCTCCGCGCATCACGAAGCCTCGGCACAGTTGCTGGGCAGTACTGTATACCCACACGTACCCATACCAGGGAATTGACGCCATGAATTCCGAGTTTGAGAGCTGGCGATTGGATCATATGGGATCGCACAGGGCAAGTTTAGCAGAGTTAAACCTTTCTCGGGGCTTTAGAGACTACAAGCCAAGTTCTCGCGGCATGCAGTCTCGGTAATTGCCCCATTCAAGACTACATGATCAAAGTATCATTACTTGCTGGATGTTGGTAAAGAAGTTGCATTTGCCAAGGCACAAAGCAAAGGCCCAGGACTGGCTGATCCCAGAGAAGGCCAAAAGCTCAGCTGAGCGAAAGAGCCTTGACGGAATTTGAGTTGCAGGAACTTGCAGAACAAATGATTGCCGATTTCATGCGTTGTCAAAGATGAAGCAGCCGAGCAGCGGTAGCTGTGCGCGCAGCAGGGGAAGGAGGCCTGTGCAAAGATCAGCATGAAGGGAGCTAGAGGCATGCAGGGAGAAAGAGGGACGCGCGACGGCCCACCGTAAAACACGTTCCACGCATCGCACTCTGCTTGGCGTGCTCTTGCCTCGCTGCTTTTCTGGGATTTGCCAGCCATTCACCTCAAGCGCGTCGTCGCCCCTGAGTGCCTCACGCTCTAGAAGCTGGACAGTCAAGCATTGTCTTGACATCCTTGCCGCCATGCCGGAGCCTCTGCTTCTTCCATGAGCTCTCGCGCCGTCTGAGTGTCTTCTGAAGTGCCCGCAGACAATGCTCTGCCCCATCCAGATGGATAATCCTGTGGAAGCTACTCTGGCTGAATTGCATTGACTCCTCATGCGAACATTGTTCACGGCACTTCAATGCAAGTCCTGAGCAACTTCTCCGAGGGAAAGAAGACCTGTTAGACAAAGACACACTAGTTGGCAAGGCTCTCACAAACAAGTTACTGTAATTACGTGAGTTGGCCTGGTTTCTAAGATAATGTGCACTTGAACCAACACATCTGAAGGTCTGGCCTTGCAAGCTGGACCGGTTCGCAAGACGCACGGCGCGAATGGCAGCACGAGCACCCAACCGAGTCAGCTCCCACGGTAGAAGTGGCTTCTCAGCTTGGGTGACGAGGTCACTTCGCAAGCGGCCTGGCAGACATGCTGAGCCAGTAATGCAGTCATGCACGGTAGCCGTTTTTGCGAAATTACTGCGCTAGATTGGTGTAGTGTGTAAGGGCCAAGCACAGAGCAGATCCACTCCCCGGGAAATGTTCCGCGATGGCAGCAATGTCAATGCCATGGAACGATTCCTTGCATTTCTTTACATAGGCAGATATCTGGCTTCCTTGCTATTCGTACTCATACATTCTCGCAGCCTGAGGCACTGCAGGATCAGAGACCTCGCGGAGACACCGATCGTCCACTTCCTCCTAAGAGAAAAGACTTGAACAAAAAGAGTTGGCAAACACAATGCTTTGAAACTTGGAACTTCGAACGGGTGGCCACGGCTTCGTTCGGTGCTTCATCATCCTTGCTCTTTGCAACCTGCGAGCACCCATCCAAATCTCGCAGCTTCCAAACGAGCAGGTAGAGGGGACAACTCGCAGCCTCATCAGCGCTGCGCGTCATGAGCTCTAGGCCTCAGTCAGAAGTTGGAAGCAGTCTCACCGCTTCTGCCTTGGGTTGAGGGCTATCCTGTCAGCTCAGCTTTCAGGGGTGAGGTAATGAGGAGTGCGCGATCAAAGTATCAAGCCATTCCATGGCAACTGGAAACAAGGTCCAGTTGCCGTAGCCACCAAGAACTGCCGGCGGCGCATCTCCTGCATTTGCAGACACCATTATCATGCATCACTCTGCCTTCAGCCGCTTCCGGCATTGCTCGCAATGTGGTTAGCATGCGCTTCATTGTGCTTGGGCTGGCATGGGGCCGCGACAACCAAAGATGTGGCCCTGCCAGGTAGGTCTGAGTAGTCACTAGTGCCAGGAAAGGGGTCCTTGCAGTGCTGGTTGGGCTCAAAAGTCTTTCACGCATGTTCTCATCCAATCCAAACATGCCGGGGTCCTGCTGGCGTACCGTGTCGAAACGCCACTCTGCCAAAGCTACCAGCTGCAGATAGCGCATCTGCAGCTTCAAGGAGAGCCTTCCTGAGAGAAGGATCTTTGTTTATCTCAGACTTGGTGCACGACGTGCACGTTCTTCAGTATCGATGCTTTGCCCAAGGCTCAACAGAGTGACTCCAGAGGCTGCATCCCCAAGATCAGCATACCCAATCAACTCTGGATAGGAGTCCTCAGCGAAACTGCAGTGGCGGCCTTCTGGTGCAGACTTTAATACCAAAAAGGCGTCAGCGCAAACAGGTGCTCCGCAGCTGAGCATCTACCTCCTCGGCCAAGAATTCGTACAAAATGTGGTCTAGCCCGCCTGAGTGCTGTGGATTCAAGCCTCAAAACACCTTAGAGTTCCTAAGCCTTGCTATGGCAAGGCGTGCGCAGGCGAACTCACATCCTTGCCACAAGTTGAAGATACCTCTTACTACACTCAAGCTGCCCACGTCAGCGCTTCGCGTCATAACAGGCTTCATCACAGGTAGCAAACAAACTGAGCGGCTTTGTTCGCCCCTCCTTTAGGGCTGACATCCTTGCAGAAAGGTTGCTGCGTCTGGGAGCTCCGCTGAGCTGTCCCGGCTTTGATGCTGTTGCCAACACCCTGTTGACAAGCTGCGACAGCTGATCTCGTCCACAGACAACCTCAGGCGGGCAAACCCAGCAGCCCCAATGAGTTAGGGTACGAGTAGCCCCGTATTGCTTGACACTGCAAAGGGACATGCATGATAGTCTTTGAGCATGTGCACACAAGCATGTGCAGTGGTGTGACTACGCGGAAGCTCCGCTTGGCGTTCACCCGAGCGCCTTTTTTTTTCAAAAGTGCCTCTGGGCAGCTTCCGTGTAGCCTCCCTTCAGATGCAGAATTGCCCACGGCTGCCCCACTTGGCACTTCCTCAGGAATGCGCAAATTCTCTCGTTTCACGCGTCTGCTATCTCAACTCCTGGGAAGAAAGTTGCTCAGATCAACCAGTGTTGGTGACTGACTGGAAACGTCGTAATCTGATGAGGTGCTCTGCATCTAATCGACCGTCGTCCGTGAGGGCAGCCCGGTCTGCCCGCTCCATCCCTGCACTTTGCTGCATACAAAGCGTTGACAGCACAACTAGGTCCTTCGCCGAAGCCGGCCTCGGGCGGCTTCCACCACCGCTGAGGAGAAGGCATGACGTGCTCTGAGGGAAAGTAGCCTGCCCCCATTGCAGCTTGGCTTTGCGGGGAAAGTGGCTGGCCCTGCATCATCCTGTATCCCACCGCCTGCCGTAGGCCGACTGCCCCTGGCAGCACAGTGCCGCCTCCGCGTGTTTAGTGGCTTCCTGGCGCCATGTTGCACTCGAGCTGCCGGCGAGGGCGCGCATGAACTGGGCACCTCCAACTCAGGTTATTCACGCAGTTCACGCCCGCCTAAATCTAAATCTGAAAGCTGTATTGCAAGGCATTCTGTCAGCATTATGTTCATGCCACTTAGCTTTCCCGATTGTCTGCTGTGGGCTCACATGCACGGGCGCAGCACGCCATTGCACGTGTACCAACACATGTGATCGAGCTGGCTATTCACTCGGCGGTGTTTGTCACCTGCCTTGGGAAACAGATTGGTTCGCGGATGGCTCCCCTGGACTATGCTCAGCCAAAAGGCGACCTTTTGCCACCTTTGGCGGGGGCCGGCAAACACAGCTCTGCAGTCTGCTCAGGGCAAAATCAATGTTTAGGGAAAAAGCGTAGAGTTTGCCAAGGGCTGGTGTCCCACGTGCATCCCTGTCCGGACTCTACATCCACTACAGAAGCCGCTCACGCAAGTCGCGCATTCATAACTTGAGAAAGATCTTCTGCATGATCCAAAGCAGTGGGCAGTGCTGCAGTCATAGCAGGCACTGAAGCAGGCACGCATTGCACACTTGGCATAGCATCCAGCAGGATCATTGCTAGAGTAGCATGGGGTGCCGCAGGAGTTGAGCAGAGACCCGCTGGATGCACAGCTTCCGGCGCTGTCTGCCAACATCTTCACTGCTGCGGTCTGGTCGTCAACTGGTGGTCGGGCAGGTTCAACTGCTTCAGCCAGAGCATCCGGCAGGCCAACGGTGTGAGCTTGGAAGTCGAGCTCGGTGCTGCAAACGGTGCACTGAGCCTTCAAACAACTTTGGCAAGAGGTGCTTCTTTGCTCGCCCGTGCACGAGCTTGCGCAGAAGCGGGTACCGCATTCAAATTCGGACCCAAGGCAGTCAGCACAGGCGGCCACAACTTCTTGCGCCTTCAAGCAGTCAGAGACGCAAACCACCTGCTCTGTACTGTCCAGGCATTGCCTGCCACACGTTTTCAGCTTGAGCTTGTTGTCCGCAAGGCAGGTGGCCTCCGCCCTGTACACTACACCCAGTAGGGTCGCCACAGCACAGGCTGACTTGAACATCAGAGTGGGACAAACGTTGACGCTCTTCACAGTTCTGATCCTGAGCCTTGACAAGACCTCCAAGCTTGAACCGATTAAAGCATGTTAAAGTTAAAGCACTCCTGGAACCGTCGGGCCTCGTCCAAGCTCTGCGAGGCCTTCCAGTAGCTCTGCTGCGAGGGAAGCTGCTGGCCATGCGGCTTGGACTGTCACTTCCACCTCCAAGCCCTCAGCATATACGAGCCCATGCTTCAAGAGGTGTCCTATTCCACTATGGCGTCTCCGATATGCTTGAATGCAAGAACAGGCGGCCACCGAAGTCGGCTGCAAGGCGCAAGCAAGCAGCAAGTAGAGCACGCCACCCGAAGTTGGACAGTGGCGCATACCTCGTTACCACTGAACTGAGACTCGGCTGCTTGCAAAACTTTCTGCTACGTGCTGCACAATATTAAATGAGGTAGGCGGCGCAGCTCCATGACGTCACGGAGCCACACGTGCAGGTGCGAGCATGGATGGAAAACTCTTCAAACAGGCGGTTATTGAAAGTCGTCCTGTGCTGCTTTTGCTGGTGGCTTGTGCATCTAGCACCTTTGGAGTCTGCTAAGAGTCTCAGATGTTGCTATGTCAAGGCTCCATCCTGACAGCTGCAAGAGCCTGCATGCAGAGAATGCTGTGTAAACAGCACATATACAAGTCCTGAAGTCAGGGAAACTGACATGGAGAGTTGAAGCAATTGGCACCTGGTCATGATATGGGCCCAACACTGACACGTCTCTGCGTTAAGCTTCTCATACTATGAACCCGAAAGCTTGGCTCATGTGAGCACTAAAATAACTCAGCGAGAAGTCCTACTGCAAGAGCCAAAAGAGGGGCCGCCAGGGTTTCTCCACTTGAAGAGTCCACCCCCAATTGATTCGACAAAACGCAATCTCTGAGCTGCACCGCCCCACCCTCACTCAAGAAAGACTGGACCCCCACTGCCAGATTTCACCGGCCAACTTTGCTACAAACTGCTTTGCCATCTGGAGTACGCAAGGCTAATTCTAACTAATCACTAAAATCTAAAATCCTACATTGCTTTTGCCAGTCAACTTTCCAACAAAAGAAGAGGTTCTTCACCGTTCTCCCGCCTCATATCACCTCCCGTACAGCAGACATGCATACCTGTGGATAGCGCCGTATCAATCAAGAATCACACGCAGCGTGCTGGTATTCAGGACGTTAAACAAAACAACATGAACTTGCTTTCCTGAAGTCCAGCCCCTAGTTTGGCTTCGCCTAGTGAGTGACTCAAGCACACGGGCAAGCCCTTGAGCCTTCCTTCGGCCACCGCTGGCCTGCCTGCGCTTCCCAGCTCAGCCATAAAACCTGCGACCAAGAGCAAAAGCGGCTGCAACACCTAAGCGAGAAAAAACACGCCAATTCATTCAGATGCAGTCTGCAATCAATTGGCCTCTATCGCGTCTCCTCTGGAGAGTTCCCAAAATCAAGGCCTCACATCGTAGGCTGAATCATTTTCAGCGACCTGCAAAGGCCGGCTGAATGTTGGAACATGTTGGAGAACATGAGCTGGTCGCATGGTGGGATATGGTGGGATATGGGTCCAGGATGATTTTGGGTTTAGGCCATGGGTCCAGTAGATGAGACTTTGGAAGACTGCTTCATTGTGCTGGATTGTGTGCTAACCAACTGGCATGCCACATCAAGCAGGGAACCGTCTGCACGCTAGGCAGACTCTTCTTGACCACTCAAGTTGTAACATGTTTGTAGCAGAAGTCCTCTCTGTGCGCCAAGCAATGCACATGCTCGGTCGTCTGCTGTGGGCCTGGCACCAGTGGGAAGGCTAAAGACTTACTCGCCTTGAAGCACGTAAGCACGTCTGCGCTGAGCATTTCAGAACTTACCACGCAGGTCTGCATCTGGTTGAATTCTTGAGCCGTGGATGGTAGACTCGGCTCCAGCCCATGTACTGCATGCAATCCTGCTTTTCCTGCATGTCAAGCTGGGCTGTACGCAATGTCGAAACCCTGGAGATACCAGTGCCCGACTCTGTACAAGGCAGTGCGAGGTCTTCCCCAGACCTTCCAGCACTGCAGACCCCAAGCAAGGAAAACGCCGCACATTTGCAGACGCAAGGACAGTGTTGAGAAATAGATTAAATGAGCTAGCAAGCACCGTCCACAGTCCCCAGTCCCCAACAGCAAAGTAAGTCAACAGTCACAGGCTGTCCAACCATTCTCGAACAGTTTGAGGTTGTGTATCAACACGCATCAGATCTTGCAGCTCATCAGCCCGCTTGCCCACCACACGAAGAATCTGATCCTTCCACAGGTCTGGCTCCTCCTTGACTTCACATTGCCAGGTGTCACCTGCAGTTCGGTTCCCATACAGCTCAGCTGTGTCCAGCTTAGATGCAGTTGTGCTATGCATGGTGCAGCTGTGGCCTTGAAACGTCTCTACAAGAAAGCAACGTACTCCTGCACTGCCAGAATCTCGCTGGACTAAGTCGATGTAGCTGAGGCACTGGATCTTTTCCTTACATCACAGCTTTGCACTGCGCATAAGTTCACGGAACCCCCTTGAATATCCCAGGCGGACTCCGGACAGCCATTCTATAGAGAAAGTGGTCTATGAAATGGGTAGCCGAGGAGTGTGGGCATGAACCACTGAAACGGCACTTTTCTATGAAATGACTGGCGGGGGTTTGCAGCGCATGAATGTAAAATACCATTGCAACCACCTGCTCGCTATAAAATGACTACTTGACCTTCTCCAACACAACCATTCCACCACTATGAAATGGCCTGCGTGCCGCACGAAAAAAACAGCCCTGATGCACCTGCACTGCATAACTCAGTATTGTTTCAAAAGATTTCAAATGATTTCACTCTGCAAAGTCCTTGGGGAATCAGTCCGACCAGTGTAGAGATCCCTCTAGCAATCCTTTAGCACCCATGCTTAGGAATCTGCTAGGGGTAGGCCGGGGACCCCCAAAAGGCCCAGAGGGACTCCGAAGGTTAGCAGGCCATTTTATGGAGAGGGGCTGTGACATGTTGGGAGGAATTTGGGAGGTACGCAGGCCATTTTATAGCCAAGTATTCCTGTGGACAACCCGTGAGATCCTGTGAGAATCCCAGGAGAACTCTGCAAAGTCCTTGGGGAATTCTGACCAGTGCAGAGATCCGTTTAGCAATCCTTTAGCACCCTTATAGCATGCTTGCAGATCCCTGGATTCTCATAAGTTCTCATAGGATCTTCCAGGAATCTGCTAGGAATGGCTAGGCCTGGGACCCCCAGAAATCCCAGAGGGACTCCAAAGGAGGAGGCACGCACGCCAAAGCCAAGTATTCCCTGCGGACATTCCGCTGAACTTTCCATGAAACGGCTGGCGCACCTTCCCGCTCATGAAACTCACCAAGCAACTCCTTGCCTATGAAATGGCCTGCAGGACTTTTTGGGGGGTCCAGAAATAACAACCAAACCAACATCAGAGGTGAGTTCTCCGCACATCAAGTTCTTTGATTGAAACAAAGGTTTCCCCATAAAATGACCTCCTGGACTCCCAACACGAAAATTCCTCTATAAAATGCTCCTCTATAAAATGACAAAATGCATTTTATAGAGGTCTTGGGTTGGTCATTATATAGAGGAATGTCGGAGGGGCGCTGACTTGCGGCCCAAGATGCGTATTCCTTCAAAGAGCGAAACCTTGGCGCGTCTGAAAAAGAATGAGCAAAGAGCGAAAGCAACTAGCAGACTCTCATGCGTCTTATGCTGCTGGCCGCGCGACAGTCTGCCTCAGCCACAGGAAATGCACTCTCACAATTACCCGCGTATACCGAAGTGCGGGCTGCTTCTGGCAAGTCACGCTGGCGGGCTTTGTGTTCGAAGATGTCGATGTTAGGTCGCCCTTCATCGCATGTCTGCCTCCACACGGTATCGAGGATCGCAACTTTAGGGACAGAGGGACCGCAGGCCGGGGTGGGGGCATCTGGCGGCCTTTGTGCATCGATCTTGCCCCGAAGGAGAAGACCTGGGACCACCTCTGCGCTGAACATCCTTGGCAGAAGATGGCAATAGAATTGAAGGACCGTGTAGAGTGTAGAGATCGTGATACATATCCAACAACTGCCACCACGGGGCTTGGAATTGCTCTGAAACGGAGTTGCCTTCTGGGCGGCCGCCTTGCGAAGCTTCTTGCCTTGATCATTCAGGTAGAAGCTCCTCAATTTTGTCGATTCTATGGAAGCATGCAATGATGTACCAAACCTGCTTAGTACGAGAGCCCTGTCTTCCCATAGAATAAGGGCATTCAGCGTGCGATGCTTAAAGAAACTGCTGTGACACTGGGCTCCGCGCTTGCATCCTTCATGGTCTTAGCCAACTTCTTTGCCTCCAGCCTGCAGACCCGGTATGCTAGACTCTTGCTAGACCGTGCAAACACCAACCTGCTCTCCCCATCCCGGCTTGAAAGCAAACTGCGCTCTCCACTGCTCAGGCAGCCCAGGCCTTGGTGGCAACTGAGCCTTTGCTGGCATGAGGTCGTTCTGCAGCAGGGCTTCAGCCATGGCCGGGTGATGCTTGCGCAGTTCCTCCAAGAAATCCTCGCAAGCATGAATCTTTGGCCGTTGAAAGTTGCTGAGGAAGGATGGGCGAATACGGATGCATATCTCGACTGTCCTGACTTTTAGACCCGTGGCAGACCTACTCTAATTGAACAGACCAGTCCTGCATGTTGGAAAGCGCATCACTCTGAAGTGTCAGCAGCTTGGCACCCTTGGGTTGCATAAACATTTGTCTGGCCGCAAAAGCACTACCGGAGATGAGATTCAGAAGGATACACCTGCTAGGAGGCAGATGGTAAATTTTCTGGCTTCGTCAAGCCCTTGGCTACTTATCGCAAACTGCCTGAGAGCGCAACTTGCTGAAACTTCTCACCTTGGAGTGGACTGCTGAGCGACATGCTTTGGCAGCCGTGAAGCAATTGAGATTTGCCCACTCGACATCAAGCCGCCAAATGCCGCCAAGCGACTCAATGATTTCTGCTGCTTGGCCTTCCGTTTCTCAGCAGCCTCGGCCTCCTTCAAGCCCTTGCGCTCTGAGTTGGTGCCGCGTTGCATCTGCACCTCTGATTCCTGGGATGCCGTCAAGGCCAGCTTGGACTGAGAGGCAACATGGACTTGTGCCTAGCGCTGTCCTTGCTGAGACATCCCTGTTTGCATCATCCCACAATAAGATACGAACAGGATAGGCCAGCTCTCTGCATAACTGGCCGGGAAAATGACGTACTGCAAGCCCAGCGGCAAGTTGTTTGGCAACCTGCTTGGACACGTTCAGCCCGTGCCCTTTCGCATTAACCCGCGGGGCTACTTTAGCCTCAAGCGCATCTTTCTGAAGCTTGCCTCATCAGCACACAAAATCAACTAGGTGGGCATCACGGATGGCTAGCCCGGCACCTACAAAGCAAGGCTCAGTTCTGCGCGCAGCAACTTCTTCTGCTGGGGATTAAGCCGCTTCTTCTCATAAGCTGTTGCGTCTTCAATAGTTCGCAGACCTTGGCAAGCTTCCAAGACCAACGTTCTAATGTCACTCGGCTCTCATAAACCCCGTCCTGCACCTCACAGAAATTATTTACTTCGAGCACCCCACCCTAAAGCAGGGCTAGCCTGCGTTTGGGCACTGCAAGGATACTCTGCGGTTGCGCACCGCTGGGATACGTTGCCATTGAGCACTGCAGGGATACTTTTCGTGGTTGGACACTGCAGGGATACTCTGCGGCTGGGCACTGCAGGGATACCCAGGCCCAGGCCTGAATCCCTTGAGCATTCCACTCCTTCCAGGCCCACAGCAAGCAACACTCCGGAGCCGCCGAAGCGAAGGCGAAGGAACAGGCACACGGCACCTTATGCAGAAGGATCAGAGGAAGAACCAACCTCAAGCAACACCAAGCCGAGCAACATCTCATTCGTTGAGGAAATGGATTAGAGTCCTCTATCCTACATGGTTATTGTTCTGTCATCTTTGTGCCTCTGGCCCGGACCTCAGCAGTGGGATTTGCGTTCCTAGCTACGCCAGCAATGCTTCCCCGGTATAGTGGAACCACGCCAGGGATACGTTGCCATTGAGCACTGCGGGCAGGCTCCGCGCGGCGAGGACAACATACCCCCAAATCACAACCTGGCGTTGATCACCTCAGAATAGCCTCTCGAGTAGGAGCCTCGGCCTGAAAGCCTGGAAGCCTCAAATAACGCAATATTCACTTTTCTGTAGACCTCCCGAACAAAATCAGCCATTTTGGTCACGAGGGCAATACGCATTTGAGCGGACAAGCTTGCGGCTGGCTTGTGTACGCGAAGCAAGCATAGCCAGCGAAACCCTGCTGTGATGTCCCGTGCTTTAATTTCATAACCAGAAAAGCTGTGGCAAATCATGCGACAATTGGTAGCCTGAAGAACCCAAATGCTGCTTGAGATGCGTCTGCTTTTGCACACACCGGCACGCACAGGCACCAGTAACGCAAAATGCTTTACAAGCTTCAATTTGGAAAGACCAAACCCAGATAAGCTACTCTAGGCAGCAACGCATAGGATTGCGCCAAACGACGGTCTCGAAACCTCCTCTTGCATATGCTTGCCGCCATCGACTCAGAAAGGCCTCACCTTCTAGCACCACAGCCCGCAAATTGATGTAATGTCGGGTGGTCAGGGCTGCTTGCCCTGAGGTGGGGCAAATCCCACAAAGAGCAGAAACCCAGAAGCCCAGAAACAAAGGCGCAATGATGCTGATGATCCTGGCCCTGGGAGCCAGCGCACCTGACCCCGCAGGACTTCACGTCTCTGGCGCCATTTAAGGCTGCTCAAGACTCAGTATGAAGGCCTTGATCATAAGGATTTACTGCGGGCCCGGGGAAAAGTCTTAAAAGGCCATTCTTATCATGCAAGGTGCTTGGCGGTGTATTGGAGAAACTTTCCAGCTGCTGCTCTTCAGGGCTTTGGCAGCGGCGAACAACTTTCCAGGTGATGCTCATGATGCCGGGCGTTCGGCCATGGACTTGAAAAAAGCATTGACAACTGATGCTCATGATGCTGGGC